TTGTCCGAGGTCATAGAAGCTAGAGTTAGGAGCTACATGAGCTCTGACCATGTAGGTCATTGTTGGTTATATAGGTTATGATTGTGAGTTGCAATAACATCAATTTACTACAAAGGCCTCAGTAGGGAGTTGCAATAAGAGAAATCTAGGAGTATAGAGGACGTCATGATATATTGGGAATGGTGATTATAAGTCATTGCCATCGAGAGTTGACGTCAAATTTTCAACATTATTATATTTATTATCCTATATTGATGGTAACTTGCTACAATGGATTTTGGAAACGTAGTTACACCATATCCGGGGTGTGTTATTACATTATCTTTGGGGTGCAATGTTACGCCACAGTGTACATCGTCACTTCACAAGGTTTACCAATGACAATGGGCAGGGGCATCTACTCATGGTCGACAGTGGCTGACGAGTAGTAATCAATCATAGTCAGCAGCTTTAAGAGTTGGAATTGTTCACCAAGTCTTTGATCAAAACCACCACCAAAAATTGCCTCCTTCTCTTATCCTTTAGGTCCAACTCTATCTTCATGTCTCTCTGCTCTGTCTCGCTTCATAAAGAGGGTAGGAATCTTTTTTATATATAATAGGAGTGTTCTCCATGTAAATATGGAAAAAAAAATCTAGACTAGTTAATCATATTGTCCAGAGAGATTCCCACAATTGGCGATGTTTTGTAAACATTTTAGTGCCTTAATGATTTAAAAAATGAATGATCTTAGGCTCATTGGATGCGTCTCATCATGACTCCTGATTTCACTATAAACTTGACAAATTTGTAATTCATTTGACGTTTCAATTAGCCACTCAAATTGTACAAATGTGGTTAATGGCTTGATTCTAGGTTAACCTTATATAAATTGGACCAATTTATGTGTTATTGTATTGGTTTAATCAAGTTGATTAATTTGACTATAGTATGCTTAAATCAAAGTTATGGAAGATTTTAAATTTGAGATTGATTGTTTCATGCTCAAAAAATGGTCTATGATTCATGTTAATCAACTCGAGATTCATGCCAAATTTTTTATGATGTATCCGTAATCCACAAATTTTATGATGTCTTTGCATTCTCATTTGAAAAAATATCAATTGGGTGAAATATATAAAAAATTTTGAAAAAGTTTTATATTTTGACAGCGGTGACAGTAGGCAAAATTCAGTTGTTGGATGGTAGTTGACACGATGGGAGAACTCTGGTCATGTGGGTG